GGCACTCCTTCTTCTACATCTTCTCCCTTGTCATTCGACACTGGTTTGGAAGCACTCATCTTCACCAAGTTGTCTTCCGTTAATTCTTCTGGTGTGGTGTCAGCTCTTGAATTTAAGATTTATATTTTGAAACCCTTCACCCCCAACTTTTTTTTTTCCCCCCCCACATCCACAATCTCTTTTATGGTTTTCTTGATTGGCTCTGTCATGAATACTGTGAAGGATTTGCCTGCTTCTCTTCCTTACTAATAAATGTCCTTTGTGACATTTTTCTTTTCCCGGAATAGGGCACTTTCATCTACATTAGAAACCTATTCAGGCAGATGTCCTTTCTCCTCAATAATTTACTTAATGGCAGCTGGGAACTTGTTTACTGACTTATGGATGGCAGAAGCTGCTTCTGTTGTTATCTTGACATTTTAAAGCCAAATCTTTTTCTCAAATTATCAAACCATCCTTGGCTGGCGTTAACTTCTTCAGCTTTAGATTTTTCACCTTCCTTTTGTTTGATCTTGTCATGAAATGACTTTGCTTTTTCTCAAATGATTTTAGACATAATAAGTATGCCTTTATTATAGCAATCCTTTACCCACATAAAGGCTGCATTTTCAAAACAAGAAAAAAGGTAGTTTGCAAGAAGTGCAAAGTTTTCATGCCTGCTGACATAGCTGTGGCAATGGGTTAATGAGTTTCGTTTCATTTTTTTTTTTTAAACAATGGATTAAGCTGGATTCATTCCTTTTCAAATGGCTGGCAGCCACTGTTTCAGTCTGTGGTATGTAACAAGCAATTTGACTTTTTCTTGTAATGTCATGACTCCTTTCTGCTTCTTAGGAGCTTTCTTGTAATGTCATCACTTCCAGCATCACTAGTGGCACTTCATTTGGGTCCTATGGTGTTATTCAAAGTTTGTGGTATGGCACTAACCACAACAAAAAATACATAAGAACTGGGAGAGATCCTTTTGTACTGTGACAGGCAATTTATTGGGGCGATGAACTGCTCATGTGGAGATAATTAGTGTCACATGGTGTTTTAAGTGGATACTCGGCAACATCTGAACTCACGATAATAGCGAGAGGAGGTGGCAAAGAGATTACTATGTAGTACAGTATGTGCTGCAGTTAATTTGGTGTGCAGTTACGATTTAACACTACACCTTGTTTTTCCCCCTGTGACAGGTCTTACTCCGTTGCCCAGACTGGAATGTAGTGGCATGATCTTGGCCCACTGCAACCTCAACCTCCCAGGCTCAGGTGATCTTCCCACCTCAGTCTCTCAAGTAGCTGGGATTACAGGTGTGGGCAACCACACCTGGCTAATTATTTGTTTTTTTTTTTGTAAAGATGGGGTTTCTCTGTGTTGTCCAGGCTGGTCTTGAACTCCTGAGCTTAAGCCTCAGCCTCCCAAAGTGCTGGGATTACTGATGTGGGCCACTGTGCCTGGCCATCTTTACATTTGTTTACATTTCTCTCAACTATGAATGATGTGCTATATGGTTTGTGTTTATAAGTTTTGATGAATTTTAACTTTTTATGTTTTATGTTAGTAAATGATAAAATAGGCTAGTATCTACATATATTTTATGTATTCATGGCACGGCTAGCCTTTTCTTTTCTTTTCTTTTTGAGACAGGGTCTTGCTCTGTCGCCCAGGCTGGAGTACAGTGGTGCCATCTTGGCTCACTGCAAGCTCTGCCTCCTGAGTTCACGCCATTCTCCTGCCTCAGCCTCCTGAGTAGCTGGGACTTCAGGCGCCCGCTGCCACACCCGGCTTTTTTTTTTGTATTTTTAGTAGAGATGGGGTTTCACCGTGTTAGCCAGGATGGTGTCGATCTCCTGATCTCATGATCCACCCGCCTCAGTCTCCCAAAGTGCTGGGATTGCAGGCATGAACCATGGTGCCCAGCCAGCCACCTTTTCTTAATTTTTTGGTATTTCTAGGCTATGTGGTTCATCTGTGAGTTTGTTCAAGTTATCACGAATATCCAAAAATTTTTCCAATGTATTTATTGAAAAAAGCCACGTATAAGTGAACCTGTGCCTTTAAACCCATGTTCAAGGATCACTTGTACTGGTGTTTGTCACCCAACCCCAGAGATTGTGACTTAATTGGTCTGAGGTGTGACCTGGGCATTGGATGTTTTAAAAAAAATCCCTAGATGATTGCTACATTCAGACAAGTTTGAGAACCTCTGAACTAGGGAATTGCAAAGAAACGTGTCACTAAGTCCCCATCTTTTGGTCACCATTTTTTATGATGTCTCCTTCATTTACACTCACTCTTCTAAAGATCTTTTTCTCTTACATATTGCACATAAAGATTATTGTGGGGAGATGCACAATTAGCTGTAGTGTGTGGGTTACATAGTACTGTCATTAAGATCACAGGTTTTGCATTCTTCTTCCTTTAGGAGTTTACTTACAGAATGTGGTTTTGATTTTTTTTTTTTTGTCCCATCCACCAAACTTTAGTGAATGGGAGATGCTAGGGAAAAGTGAGAGTACCAGAGTTTCAAAAATAGCCTTGTTTTACTGCAAATTTTGAATGAATTGGACTTTTGTGTTTGGTGTCTTTTTTCTTTTGCTATTGGTTATGGTCTTAATCTGAGTACAGAACTTCACTGTAGTTGATCATCAGTGGCTATGGATGTTTTTGTAAACCTATGCTGCAGGAGTGAGGGGTTGGGGTGGGGCTAGAGGGGACGAAAGATGGAAAGAGGTGAAAAGAAGACCATGTTTAGGAGCCTTACTCCCTGTTTCGAAGGGAATGTAGAGAAAGCATAGTTGTTTTTTTTTTTTATTTTGTTGTTGTTGTTTGTTTGTTAAGCGCCAGAAGAAACTATAGGCATCAGATAACCCAGCCCCTCTTCTTTGCTTTAACTTGTTCAGCTCCCAACTTGTAACCTGACTGTACTGACATTTCCGGTTAGTAGAGGCCTTCTTGGCTGCCACCTGGAGGTTGGAGGGAGGTTTGGAGCTTATATTCTTAAAGAACCTTGTAGATCACAAAAGAAGCCATAAAGTCAGACGAAGTTGAGGTGGTTAACCATGAAATGGAGGAAGTTTTACCACTGTCTTTCTCCCTTTTCTTGGGGATTAGGAGGGTGGGAGGTAGAGTGGCAGAACTTAACAGCTGAATGCAATTAGAGGTATTATAGCTCCACATTTAGTGAGTGGGCTGAAGTGGGAAAAATCGTATGAAGAAACACAAATGGGAATAGACTTGTGTTAACCACGTAAAACTGCCTGAACTGGTTATTATTCATTCGTGGACAGAGTGCCTCTTCTTTTAGCCTAGTGTATATTTGTTAGCATGTGAAGATCCTTTACAAGCTTTTGTTGACTTTGGAGAACTGATTTTCACTTATCAGGCTGTTTTCCTCAGTGTTTCAGACTTTGTGACATGTTCAAATGTCCTTCAGAAGATGAATTTGTCATTTCTTTATCTCTTGTACCTTATCTTTTATCCAACTGATAAACATTTTTTGATTAACAGTACATAGAAAGTTTTAAAGCCCTCATGTGCAGCTGCGATTAGTTTATGGTGATAGGGGTAGCTTTTTAGAGATTTTGATTTCCAGTTTTAATTAAATGGTTGATTGTTTTTTTGATGTGAAGGTGAATTCATGCAGTAAAAAATAGCCATGATTATTTTGAGTGACCAGCAATAAAACATTATAGAATAGACATTTTCTTTCAAGTTAAAGTATGTTTGCAATTTTAACCTATTTATTCATAATGTAGTTGATTGTGTTATGGCCATACATAATGATATTTTGGATCACAGAAATTCATATCCTTTTCTAAAGTTGACTTTAAAAATGTTTAAGTAATTTGTCAGCACAACACGGTAAGTGCTAGATTAGCTCTTATGCTCCCTCAGGGTAAGCATTATATTTTCTGCATTTCTGTAAGTCTAAGATCAGGCATATAACATGACCTCAGTAAATTCCAAAAGAGTGAGGGTAGGAAAAAAAATACGTGCTTATCACCTTTTCTGTTATCTCAGAATTTAATAATTATTGTCATACCTTTTGAGAAACACGTTTCTTAACAGTTTGAATATATGTTTAAACTTTGTGAAAGACTGGCTTGTTTTAAATTTCAGCTGCTGCATTTTTTATCACCTATGAATATGTGAAGTGGTTTTTGCATACTGATTCATCTTCATGTTTGACACCTATGAAACATATGTTGGCTGCCTCTGCTGGAGAAGTGGTAAGTAACAAGTTTTGTGTATAAAATACTTCAGAAATGCACATGATGCATATATTTTCAGTACATATTTATTTCATTTTTTAAAAAATTATTTTTAAATTATGAAAGCTATAAATGCCAATAAATGTAAATGGATTAAATATGACAGTTAGAAGATAGAGCCTGACAACTAAAAGATAGAGCCTGATGTAGGACAGAAGAAGAATTCTAGTTATGTGTAATTTACAAGAGACAGATCTAAAACATAATTAATGGAAAAAAGACAAAAGAGTGGAAGAAAATACCCATTCAAATTGTGACAGCTTTCTATTGTGTCAGCACACAACTGAGCTGGAACTACTTCTCCGAGAATTTCCTTTCCAAAGTAGTTTCTTTCAGTTTGGGTCAGCCACAAGAGAAATTTGCGTATTCTTTGTAAGGTAGAAGTGAAGAGCTGTATTTATGCCCAGAAGGTTGGTATATGGTCAGGCAATGTTGCAGCTTACACACCTGACTTTGCTGTATCACCATGTTGGCATTTGACTTCCAGCTTCTCCAGCTCCCTCTGGTTCTTCTCCATCAGCTTATCCAAATTCTAGGTTAGATTTGTGGGCTCTGTAATGAAGGGTGCCAGCTTATACTGCAAGTTCTCTCTCACAGGTTGGTGAGAAATAAATGTGACTTCCAGTCTGTCCTTGTTCTTCCTCCACTTCACATCCATCTTTCCTTTCCTGTTGCCTGCCCTTTGATTTCTATCCCAACACTAGATGCAGAAGCAGCAGCCCTATACAAACTGCTTAATTAGCTCCCATAATTGCTGGTCAAATCTCTATAATCCTTATCCTTATCACTCATAGTGGTTTTGCTTCTGTGATGAAACCTTAACTGATAGAGAAATACTAATTGGAAAAGAGTTTGTGGAATAATATTAATATTAGGAAAAAATACATAAGGCAAAAAACGAAAACATAATGATACAGGAACAGTTCTTTCAGGAGATATAACAAGCCTGGACGTGCACTGAATAACATAGTCTCAAAACATATAAAGCAAAAACTGACAGAATTTTACGGAGAAATGAACAAAACCATAGTCTTAGTTGGAGATAGTCACGTCTCTCTCTCAAAGCAGGCATAAACTTACTAAGGCCATAGAAGATTTGAACAACACAATGGCGAGATTGGTCTGTTGATAATATGTTAAACTTTGCACCCAGCAAATAAAGAAGATAGACTTCTTCAAGCATAATTGGAACTTAATAAAAATAACAATAGCTCACAGGGCCAGTTTTAGTGAATACTGCAGAGACAGTGTCATTACAGATCATTAGTTGTATCATTATAATGAAGTAAAATTGGAAACAATGACAAAAAATAGGCAGTCTGTTCCTACCATGTGTTTAAAAAACAAACTTTCCTTTGTAAATAATTTCAGTCAAAGTAGAACACAATACTGTGAGTGGTAAGTGTAAGTGATATTTATTTTTGTTTTTATTTTCAAAGAGATGGGGGTCTCATTATATTTTCCAGATTGGTCTCAAACTCCTGGCCTCATATAGTCCTCCTGACTCAGCCTTCCAAAGTACTGGGGTGATAGGCATGACCCACTGTGCCTGGTCAAAAATGATATTTTAAACCCAAATCATAAACACAGTTATGATTAAAGAAAAAAAAAAACTCAAAACGAATGCAGAGGAGAAATGTATAATACAAATAAAAGTTTCTTCATTCCCCTCATTAACTTACTTTCTCCCTACCCCTTCTGCACAGTGCTGAGGGGCAGCCTTGTCTGTTGCTTGTTACACTATTTTCAAATCTCACAGCCTGGTATTCATGCAGTGTTATTAAACCGCCAGTCTTGTGATGGGCATAACAGAAATGGACAACACAGTGAAGAAAAAGGTCTTAAGTTTGTAAGCCTTTTATCAAATCACACTTTTCTTTGTAATTAGAAAAGTAATGGCATATGTTTACATAGGAAACTTGGGAAATGAATTAACCTTTATAACATTTACATTAAAAAATTGTATTATATTGTGAATTTGTTTTTGATGTACTTTTTTTCTTTAGGAAGTTTAAACAAGAATCTACAAACTGCTTAGTAACCTAATATTCCTTGCTTAAGAATATAGTGAATTGGGGATATGGAAAAGAGAGTTAACAGAAAAGTAAAAATTAAAGAAGATTTTTTTTAAAGAAACCAGCTTTATTGAGATATAGTTCACATACTATGCAGTTCACCCATTTAAAGTGTACAATTCAGTGGTTTACACCATATTCACAGAGTTGTACAACCATTGCCAGCGTCCATTTGAAAACATTGATCACTCCCCAAAGGAGGCCCTTACCCATTGCAGTCATAATCCCCATTTCACTCCAACCTTCCCCACACCTAGGCAACCACTGGTATGCTTTCTGTCTCTATGAATTTGCCTGTTTTGGACATTGGTATAAATGGAATCCTATGATATGTGATCTTTCGTTACTGGCTTTTTTTAGCTACTGTAGTGTTTTCCAGGTTCATCCGTGTTTTCCAGGTTCATCCGTGTTATAGCATCTGTTAGTACTTCATTTCTTTAAAATTATTTTTGGTGATTATGTCCTGACACACAGTCTTATTACAGGCAGTTAGTTTGGAGTATATATACTTAGATTTGTTGATACGTTGTTGAGAGCAAGCAACAAAAAAAGAACCTGGCCACTTCATTTCACCTGGGGCCATCTTGCCTGAAAGCTAGTTTGCCATGTTGAAGGGCAGGCTTGCTTCAGTTTGTAAACTTTCTGTCTAAGAAAATAGAAAGTGATATAATAGGTAGGGCAAATAGTAGCTATTAGATTTCTCATGTTAATCATACATCTTTTTGTTTGTAGAAAGTCTTGTATATTCTAATGCTCCTAGTATCTGTAACTAATATCTTAAAAAATTGGAGCCTTGGAAAAGGCTCCAAGTTTCTAAGATTTCCAAATATTATGTCATAACATTTGATATGTGGACTGTTAGGCTTGAGAGGTGGGGTAGATAGATTTTAGAATTAGGAAACAAGTATCCATGAGACTGGAGATACAACAGATGAAGACATTGTACCTGCACTGTGTCTCTTGGGGGTTCTGTGGTCCCTGAGCTGGTAAGGCCAAATATCAAACACCTGTTTATAGTTTCTATGGAGCTGGGCTGTTGATAATTTGCCCATGTTGGCTTCAGACTCTTGGCCTCAAGGGATCCTCAGTAGCTGAGACTACAGGTGTGTGCCGCTAGGCCTGGCAATTCCTAGAGAATCTTTTTTTTTTTTTTTTGGTTTGAGATGGAGTCTCGCTCTGTCACCCAGGCTGGAGTGCAGTGGCGCCATCTCGGCTCACTTCAAGCTCCACCTCCTGGGTTCGTGCCGTTCTCCTGCCTCAGCGTCCCGAGTAGCTGGATCTACAGGCGCCTGCCACCACGGCCGGCTAATTTTTTGTATTTTTAGTAGAGACAGAGTTTCACTGTGTTAGCCAGGATGGTCTCGATCTCCTGACCTCGTGATCCGCCCGCCTAGGCCTCCCAAAGTACTGAGATTGCAGGCGTGAGCCACCGGGCCTGGCCCCTAGAGAATCTTAAAAGGACAGTTGGTCAGCAGTGGGTACATAGATTGAGGACTTTCCACATGAAATACTTCTTGATGTTGACTATTTAAATAAAAATATAAGTATATATACATGTGTGTGTGTATATATATATGCACGTACACACACACACACACACACACACTCTCTCTCTTACAAATGAATGAGTGACAGGGTCTCACTCTGTCACCCAGGCTGGAATGCAGTGATGTGATCATAGCTTCTGTAGCCTGTAACTTCTGGGCTCACATGATCCTCACTTTAGCCTCCTGAGTAGCTGGGACTGTAGGCAAGTGCCACTATGCCTGGCTAATTTTTTAAAACAGTTTTGTAAAGATGGGACCTTACTATGTTGCCCAGGCTAGTCTTGAACTCCTGGCTTCAAGCAATTCTTCTGTGGCCTTCTAAAGTACTGTAATCCAGACACGAGCCACTGCACCCTGCCAATATTGACCTTAAATGGACTTTAAATTCAGTTACGGTTTAGTATGCTGAGAAGTTTGCCAAATTTATGAAGTTTGTGGAAATGTTGGTTCTGATGCTCTAATAATCTTTGAACTTAAAAAAACAAAAAACAAAAAAAACTTCCTGAAGCCATTCAGTATCGATTTTCTCAGTAAATGCTTATATACATATTACTCCTTTTTTTAATAACTTGCTTTAGTCTCATAGAAGATAAACTTTGGATTTCAGATTCATGCAAGTGTGGTTGCTGAGATTAAGAGAAACCAACAGGTGAATGTAGAGGAGATAAATTTTCGTTTGTAAAATAAAAAGAAATAGAAATAGAAAACATTTATAGCTGTCAATGGTCAGAAAGGCATAGTAAGCTAGATAGAGATTATAAGAAATACTTTAGTGCAATCATTCTGTAACACATTTGCTTTGATAGAAGATTATTATGTTAGATTCCTTAGAAACAACATTTTGTTTGTATTGAATATAGCCACAGTTACTTTCTTGTAGCAACTATTAAAGAAACTTAGAAACAAAAGAGCACTGCCAAAATAATAACCATTCCCTGTAGCAACAGCTTGATTAAAACTTAATGATGAATCAATAAAATTATAATTACAACCTTCTACCTTGTGTTTGCAATTTGGAATACAGTAAAATCAATCAAATAAGATTTAACATGTAACAATAGCAAGAGGGGTCTCACTTGTGCCGTTTTTATTAGGAAGATTGCTGTGCCAAATCTCTAAATCCCTACCTCAATAATTTTACAGCTCAGTTTTCATCACACACAGAAAAGGCCCTTTGGGAAGTAGAATCTGTAATTAGATCAAAGGTTGGGGCAGGTTTACTTTAACGCTACATATGCTATAACGTTCTAGTGGTAATGATTTTCTTTTCTTGAAAGGTTTGAAGATTTGACTTTTGTTGTATCTTATCCTACTTTTGTCTGTCTTCATGTTGTCA